GCAGTATAAGGTCTACTATCTTTAGCCACTTTTAATTGATGGTAGCCCGATGTCAAATCTAGCGTGGTGAAACAGTCATTGCCAGCTAATCTTTCCAGTTGGTCTTCAATCCTAGGTAAGGGGTAGTGATCACGTTCGGTGATTGAATTTAACTTGCGATAGTCCACGCACATCCTTAAATCACCTGTTTTCTTTTTGACCAGTAGAATTGGACTGGCATACTGAGAGATAGTAGGCTCGATAATGCCGTTTTTAAGAAGATCATCCACCATCTTTCGGACAATTTCCCTTTCATAGTATGACAATCGATAAGGGCGATAGCATACAGGTTGATTACTTGTCAATTTTATATTCATTTCTATGTTAGTTTGTCCTAGAGCTGCCATATTTTCAGAAAAACAAACCTGGTATTTCTCGAGCAATCGATCAAGACGTTGTTTAATTTCTTCACCCCATTCATTAAATTCGTTGGTGTTGATTAAATCAGAAGAATGTGTCACTACACCTCGTGCAATACACTCTCCTTCTTTTAAATTTACCTGCACTTTACTAATATTTAATACAGTCAGAATACCTAATTCATTATTGATTTCCATAGTTTTTGGCGGAACCAAAATAGTAAAACCATTGCGACATTGTTCAGAAGAGTTTATTTTTAAATAACCATTGTTAATTTGTGAAGACACTTGAATTTTATTTATTCCGGGAAATAGTTTAACTCCAACGCAAGTGACAAGAGGACATTTATAGTTTTCCTCAATAGCCGACGGCAATTGTCAGATATCAGTGTTATTATGAAATTTTAAAGATTCCCCAGTTTTAACAGTTAACACATCTGATAACTCAGTGAATGGTTGACCAATTAATAAGTCAGCATCTTGCAATTCGTTGTTTACAATTACTATTGGGACGTCTCGTTCAACATCATCAATGGAGATGGATGCATGTGTTTGTCCTATAGATTTAATAATAGCGCCTCCGAAACCTTGCATAATTACTTGCTTACTTGTATCGATGGGCAATTTCAATGATACAGCTTTGTTTAATTTCATAATATTACAGCCGCTACCGAAATCTACATATGCCGACATAGTTGTATTGTTTACTTTTGCCTCAATATGGTACTTTTTATCACCACTGGATATTTTGTGTATTTTTGTAGCGTTCCGTTGATCAAATTTCTTTTTAAAACACTTATCTTTTGTATGTCCCTCTTTGTTACAATAGAAACAAACGATTCCTTTACTAAATTTGTTTGTTTTAATATTATGATTTGAAGTTCTCGATCGAAAATAATCTTTAGAGGTTGATGCTTTAGCGGAACTGCCGACGTAACTATGTTTGGGTTTCACTTGATCCGCGATGTTTACATAATCCGAATCAGATAAGAATTCTAATAATTTCTCAGGCGTATCACACCTAGCCGCCTGTGCGCTGGCTTTTATTAAATTGTTATTAATGGTAGAAATTATTACATCTGAAATAACGGTATCAGGAAGATTACAGTGTCTACCTACTCGAAGTTTTTCATAATAGAATTCGACAACATTTTGTTCCGGTCGTCTTTCCGTATTTACAAAGTCTTTAAGTTTGGCTGCGATTCCTTTATGTGGCGGAAAAGCACGTTTTAATTGTTGTTCCCAAGCAGACCATGTTTCTGGCGCCTGCGTTAGACATTCGTACCAAGACTTGGCATTCCCAGTTAAACGCGCAGTCGTACAAAATATTTTGACTTGTTCGTCCCAACCGTAAATTTTGCTGATAGAATTTACTTTTTCCAACCATTGATGAATAGTCATGCCGTCCGTGGATCCATTAAATGATGGTATTAATTCTAACCGGCCAGCAAATCTCGAACCTCCGAATTCCTGACGGGATGAACTAGGTCTTTGTTCATTATCAATGTTTTCATTTAACTCACACGCGCGCCGCGGCGGTGTATAAGACCGCGTGTTTTGTTGCGTACTTGAACAGGACGCATTAGAATCACAATGCGATTTTGAATTACGCACAACACTTTCCAAAAGTTTTAGTCTTTGTTCTAGTAAAGAATAATTTGAATCAGTATTTGGACTGTGTGCACGCTTATTGCGTTGTCCAGACTTTGATTTTGTGCCCGAATGACTCATAATGAATAATTACAGACAACAGACTAGACAATAAAAATGTTCAGTTGAAAAAAAACAACAATAGGCTTTGAGAACTCACCAAAAATCCAATAAAGCACAAAGCACTCTCGTTGCACGGCACTGCACTTTGATATTAAAATTGATATTTGTTTATTTAGTGTTTGTTTTATCTGTTTGTTTATTTATTTACTGCATCCCACTTCTGTAATGTACAGTTTTTCACAAAATAACTTTATTTTATAATAAAACAATACAACATTGACCAAATTATCTCAACACAACACCTCGTCAGTCGTCTGTGGTCATTCTCTCTCTCCCGTGTCCCTGCCTTTCAGTCTGAATTTCCGCGCTTTGGCCTTCACTTCTTATCGTTGTTTTATAAACAACGGCCCCAATCGAAATAATACCCTAACACTACATACAATAGAATAAAAAAATACAACGTGTTCCATGTAAGCTAACAAAGTTATAGTTGTTTGAAGTTATCAAAAGGTAACAGCAAAAATGAAACAGTTAGTGTTAAATGTTTTAACTTGTTGGTATACCATATCTTAGTGTTACCTATGCCCTTAACAGGTACCAAATATCCACTTGATATCACGCTCCTGAAAAGAGTTACTAGCATATCCGCGGACCCTTGCATTTGTCAAATTTTTTCTTTAAATATTAATATCTCAAATTCTATAACTCCTAGGTATAGGGAATATTTAATAAAGTGACCCTCAAGTTTCACGTAGGATCCGAATGCAGTAATATAGGGTGTTAAAAAAAGAGTGTAAAATATTTCAGGAGGTAATAGTATGAACCAAAATAAGCAGAAAAGTCTTAATAAACATGGGTCCGCAAAGTGGTAACGGTTGCGGAGATATGGACCACTATTCGTTTTTCAAACATTTTATTTTATTAGGAATAAACCGACAAATAAATAAAAAACAAAGTTACAGAAGATGTTCAAAGTGCCCTCCGTCCATTTCCAAGCAGGCACGACATCTTCGTCTCAACGATATTCGAACTCTTTCGAAAACACCCTCCTTGGTTTGGATTTCTTGAAACTTTTGATTAATCCGTAGCTGCAGCTCTTCCAGGCTATTTACAGGAGTACCATACACTAATGTCTTCAAATATCCCCAAACAAAGAAATCTAGAGGGTTCAGATCAGGCGATCTTGGAGGCTATAAAACAGGTCCGGCCCTTCCTACCCATCTATGTGGAAAAGTTTGGTGTAAATGCTCTCTAACGGCCATGGAAAAATGAGCTGGAGCACCATCATACTGGAACCACATTTGTTGCCTCTGATTCAAAGGAATGTCTTCCAAAAACTCATACAGTGTGTTCTGCAGAAAGTTGAGGTAAGCAGCGCCTGTTAATCGGTTTGGTAAAACAACAGGACCTAGAAACCTGTCACCTACGATACCCATCCAAATGTTTATGAAAAACGTGCCTGATGTCCAGATTCTATTAGAGCATGAGTATTTTCGTCGGCCCAAATATACGTATTGTGAAAATTAAACACTCAATTTCTTGTGAATCCGGCCTCATCAGTAAAAAGAATGTTTGCAAGAAAACGAGGGTCTTCAGCATCATGACGTAGAAACCAGCGGCAAAAAACCAAACGTGCTTGATGATCATTTATTGGATTTAAGGCCTGTACTCGTTGCACATGGTATGGATAAAGCAGTTGCTCGTGAAGGATTCTCCAAACAAGAGGACCACTAATTCCTACCTCGGCTGATATTCTCCGCACACTCGTACCTGGATTCTGCTCTACCATTGCTAGAATTTCTTCTTCTGCTCTAGGAGTGGATACCGACCTTGGTCTTCCGGATAAATGGCACTGTTTGCTCAAGGAACCGGTATCACGCAATCTTTGGTGAATTCTTATAAACATGCGTTGTGAAGGAATCTGGCGGTTTGGATAAGCGTCAATATAAAGACGTCGCGCTTCGGTGGCGTTCCCATTAGCACGACCATACATGAAATGCATGTCTGTTAATTCTGCGTTAGAGTAACCAGCCATAGCGAAAGAAAACTTGTGCACTGAGAACAACTGTCAAATACGTACTGTTTATTTCACTAAACATCAACCAACTATTATAAGAAAATACACAACGTTTTTGCAAAATAAAAAAGGGGCTAAAGAACATAAAACATTCCATATATCCGTAACCGTTACTTTGCGGACCTATGTTTATTGAGACTTTTCTGCTTATTTTGGTTCATACTATTACCTCCTTAAATATTTTACACTCTTTTTTTAACGCCCTGTGTATAGGGTGTCCCATTTAAAATAACGAAGTTGGTGTCGACTTCCGGTATAACCGGAAGTGCTGGAGAGTTCTAGATATTTTATTTGTGTTCGCTCCAGGAACGTTGCCATGTTGCCAAATTTTCAAATTTTTCGAAACAGTATTTTCCTAGATATCGATCGACGCAGTTCCCGGTGGAACACCCTGTATTATATAACCTTCTTAAAATCACTAAAATAATCGCTCATTAAAGTCTCTCGACGTACTTAATCAACGCCCTGTGTATGGCTGAAATCATTGCTGTATTCCATGTTTAATACTCAGACTTTGTCGGTTCATAAACTGATGAGTAATTTTTTATTATTCTCTGTAAACAGGGTTATAAAAAAGATTTCAATTAATGTTAATGGCTTGTTTAATGGTACTACGTCAGTCTTGGATAATGAAAAAAACTTGTTTTTTTTTAATGATGTATCTTAAAATTTAAACATTACTGACGTTACTACAAAACGCAAGCTGAAGTGGAAACTAATGTTCGCTGAGATATGCACATCGTAATTTACGTTTAATTAAAGTCATTGATATGATTACATATTTTAAAAAAAGTTTTTATGTCATTTTTCAGCGGACGGTGTAAAGTTGTGCCACAGGTCCGACCCCGATTTTCAGAAATGTGTCGCTAAAAGCTTGGGGGAGTCTCTCAAATACTTCACAAACGGTAAGTATCAGTTGTCACTTTGCATAAAAGATGGAGCTCCGTCAAATTTTTTATTAAACACCCTAGATATTGAGTATAGTCTACGGTTTCTATTCTACTTTTTTTTAATTACAAAATCTTGAAATATGTGATATGTGGATTAATTGGTAAAAAATAGATTTTGAATTTTTGGCGGATTTGTTGATTTGAACTCACACTAAGTCACAATGAAAATAGACCTTTTTAGTAGTGACGTCACATACGCCAAATAATAGGCAACCCCATACTACACATTGTCATGAAGAATTTCTACTAGATCGATTTTCGACCTTCGTACTTTAGTCATAAGTGCGAAAAAATTGTCTTCTTTGTCATGACCTTAAATATCGCGATATTCGGATAATATTAGAAATATTTAAGAAGTTTCAAACAACAGCACTATTGACTTTTATAGTAATTAATAAATTTATTGAAATTATATTAATGTTATTGAACATGCGCATTAAAGATAATTTCATGTAAGCCTCGCAACAGGGTACCATTCAAGAAAAGTTTGGTTGTGGTTAAAAGTACGTCTATAATAAACCACGTGAAAAAAAAACACTCGATAAACACACTGACAACACAACACCAAGAAAAATAATAAAAAATATTTGATAGAAATAGAAGATGCCAAGAAGAAGAGAAAATACGCTAATGATGACAGCGGCGATATATCAACAAGATCTCACCTGCGTATGAGGCTATTCTTCCCAAGCATGCGCATTAGGAATAACACGGCTAATATTAAATTTCTACTTTATTTAAATTTAAGAATATTATTTTATATCGTTTTTTGTAAGTTTTAAGCACATTAGTGTATCTATTTTACTAAACACGTGTTGGTTGTTCTTAAATACTTCCAAAAACCTTGTAAAAATAAATTAATTTGAAGTTGTTCATTTTTATTGTATCTATGTAAATAGTAAACAAGGGTCAGATTCGATCTTTACAATTTCAACTATGACAATTTGTTGCAGGTTGCCTAAATATATGACGTCATACTAAAAGAGTCTATTGTGAAAATCCAAATTGATGAAATTTAATTTTGGGATCTTACAAAATGGTTAGAGCTTGTCTAATTATAAATTTATGCGATTCTTATCTGTGTTTACATGTGTAAAATTAAAATTATGCAACTTTTTTTTAATTAATGTCAAGATTTTCAACATAATTCACAATGTAAACATGTTTTAATCATGTGGGTGTCCTGTTTATACTTCAAAAAACTAGGTAGCGAGGTCTTCTTGGAGAAATAATGAGTGATATGTATAACAGTTTTATTTTTACATTAACGTTGCGTTTCCGAGATACAGGGTGTTAAAATTGTTCCTTTGGAAAAGGTTTTTTTAATTATCTTAAATGGAATGTTATTTTCTTTATTCTGATGCACACATTTTTTTTTTTCGTCACCCTAGATGAGTGGTGACCTCATCGATATTTTTTTAAATGGGATTGTATACATTTTCTTGCATGGTTTGACTAAGTTTTTTTTTCTCTTTCCAACCGTATCAAATTTGTATGCCTTTGCATAACGAATTTTTTTATAAAAATGTGAAAACTTTCAGTCTTTGACTTTTAGTTGAATTAAATTGGCCTTTAAATGGTAATTTTGGTTAACTTGTCTGAATTTTTTATATAAGTTAGTTTGAGGTACCTATGTAATAACAATAAATGACACTAATTTTTTTTCAACCCCCGGCCAAGGGTGAAAAAAAAATAAATTAAAGGAGCTTTTCAAAATAGATAAGATCTAGAGAAAAAAGTTTCTTATAAAAGTTGTAGAGTATAAAATTCTACATGAAAATGGTCTATGGACTTTTTCTTGTACTATTAAAATTTAGTTAGGGAGACTAGAAGTCAAGGGATGATTTCAGAAATTTAAAAAATCATAACATGAATGAATTTAAATTTTTTTTTTCAAATTTTTCCTAATAGAAGAAAGTTTAGTACCTAAACTTGAAACACATCTAAGACAGTTAAGGTAAAGGAAAAATATGTATGTAACAATAACTTAGTAATATTAATAAACAAAAAATTGTATAATACAAAATTAAATGCAAACAAAAATGTTAAATGATTAGTGAAATTTAAAAAGTACTGTTCAAACTATTGTCCATTTTCTTTCTATACATAATTCGCATCTTCGAATTACACTTCCAACTGTATTTAATTTAACGTTATGTGGAATGATCAATATTATTTGGTGGTGTTATACAGGGTGATTCACAAATGGTGACCAAAAAATTAAACCTCGTATTCTTTGGTGAACTTTAAGGGGTCTTTCCTATAAAGTTTTTATTTAGTACGCTTCGTCAAAATGATACAGAGTGTTAAACTTTAAAAAATATTTTTAATTTTTTTTAAATAATTTCAAAACTAGTAAGTGAAATAATTTGAAATTGGGCTCATGTATTTATGAAAACATTGTCCAAAATCTGAGAGCTTTTCCTAAAATTTACATGCTCCAGTGGCGGAGATAGAGGGTGTCGGTGGCATATTTTTCTAAATAAAATAGTACGCCACTGCTTTAGGGTAACTACCATGATATTTTCGGATTCGACTTTCAATTTTCTACAAATTACTACTCTCATGTTTTTTAAAAAAATCCTGTAAAAAATTTATATAAACACATTTAAAAAATATCGATGACGTCACCACTCATCTACAGTGTGACGAAAAAATATTATGTGCGTCAGTATAAAAAAATAGCATCCCATTTAAAAATTACAGGGTGTCCAAAAATAGGTAACCGAGTTGTAATAACGGGCCGTATCAAAAAGCTATCAGTGGTGTAACGCTTTTAAAGTTATTTAAAAAAAAAATACCGCACTCGATTGATACAAATTTTCACTTTTTGAATATTTAATTCTTATTGAGCAGAACATATGAACCACCTTCAATATTTTTTCAAGAGGAACTTACGCCAAGTTTTTTGCGGTACACTCTGTAGAATGTAAAACGACTAACATTTATTCCATTCCAAATACGATCCTTATCTTCGTTTATGTTTTGTAAAATTAAAATTATTACACTTTTTCTAGGAAATAATGTTGTTGTCAAGGTTTTCGGCATATTCCACGATATAAGTCCGTTTTAATTACATTTAGGTGTACGTTATTAGAAGATGTAAACAATTTACCGACACGAAACAAGAAACGAGACACGCAGTGGTGTTAAAAAGGTTAATATTAAAAAAATAATTGATTCAAATCTATTCCAGGATACAAAGAATTAGGCATCCCTCCCTTAAAACCCCTGTTCATCGAAAAGTTGGAGATAGATCCGGAAGCAAAACAGTCCGTTTCAATCCAACAGAAGTACCACAACATCAATGTTCATGGAATTACCGATAGTACCTTTGACAAGTACTTTAAGTAAGTCAAATTGACCTTATATGTTATTGCATAACTACTTGATATTCTGTAAATCGACATTTAGGTCAGGTTGGCCACTGGATATGTAAACCAGCAAATGAGCGGAAATCGTAGGTCGCCCATAGCAGACGTTTTCAGTCTGTAGAGACTTAAAAAATTAAGTAGGATTAATAAGAATACTTGCAACATATTATAAAAATAAAATGTTTTCTAATATTCAGATAATAGATTGAATAATAGTTTTCACAAAGAAACATTTCCGACCGTATTTTTTGCACAAGAGAGTTCATCTTGGAATTATAAAGGTCCTATCGTTTTTGGTATGCAGAAATATGTACCCACAAGTAGGTATACCTTTCTAATTTAGTAAATAACAAACAAAATAGGTATGTAAAATAATAAAAGTATGTATATTACAAATATAAAATGTCAAGAAATTTTAAGGATTGCGCAAGTAAAAAATTCTTAGTACGGTCCTGATCTCCGCTTCTTCATCCAAGGACATCGAAAACGGTTCAGTGAGATCAAAGTGCCGATAGCGAAGTGAAGCTACCAGTTTACGTATGCTGTGATTTAGCATTGTCGTTCCACTTATTCCGCATCTGTTATGTAAAATACTTTAACACTAATGTGTCTTATTTTGCAGGATTGAATTAGACAACGGATGCAGCTGGGTGACTGATGCATCAACACCTGTCGTTAGAATGGAGGCAGACTACGAGATAAAGGGACAGTTGCTGGTGTTTCCTATCAATTCACATGGAAAGTGCAATATTACTCAGTGTAGGTTTTGTTCACATTATTCCCTTTTATTTTATTTGTTTCGTTCAAAGGGGGTCAAAGTCAGCAAGAAATTTTATTTTTTTTTCCAAATAAAATTTGGTATGCTTGCATTGGTTACCTATACAGGATGTTCTGGGAACATAAGTTCAGTACATAGTTTGGTGGCAGATAGAAGACGACTCATTTTTAAAACCAACCTTTTTTTTAAATACTCACATAAAATTACTTTTATTGTGCCATTACTTCAGCATGAGATAGAGTAATTATAAATGAACAAAAAAGTTGTATATTACAGGAGCGTAAGATTAACAGTTTTCAAAATACAGCCAGTTACAGTTACACAGCTGATGCATACCACGTGTGCACGCGGCAGACTTGTCCTATGGAGAAAATGTAAACTATTATTGTGAAACATTTAGTAAATTTCAAGACAATTGTTTTCCAGTTTTTAAATAAATAAAATAAAAATGTATCGATTTTGTAGTAAGAAGATAGTGTTATACCTAAAATTTAGCTCGAATTTTAGTAATTATGAATCTCTTAGAACATGAACTTGACTTTTAATCAAATTATGAATTTGAAAAATATGTAATTAAAGTACCCAAAGATTCACGTCAACCAAATTCACACGTATTAAAAATAATTTAGGTACTTACGAAAAAGCAAAATTGAGTAATTTAAAAAAAAAATTATCTCAGCTTCTAATCAACTTACAACAACGATTTTTTTTTTAATTCGAAGAAGACTAAAGTATAGAGGTTACTATTTTATTTTATAATAATTACCTATCTTAACAATTTAATAAATATTAACATTTTTTCAGTCATTTTTAAACAAATTAAATTTGAAAAATTAAATTGTCTGTAAATGCATGTCAATAGAACTATTTAGGTACAAAAACAACTAATGATTGAAACCCTACAACGCCTGTGAGCTTGGGAAAAATGAATTGAAAATAGCATCTTCTTAGATAATAATAAATTCCGCCAACGCCAAGCTAATGAGACTTTTGGGCTGAAATTTTTACCACTTATTAAGGGTGCAAAAAGCCTAAAAAATTCTGAATTACAAGTGTCTGCGATGAAAATTGCATTAATTATTAGCAATTGAAAAAGCGGACAATTTCGCCCATTTTTGAGTTCTTGCGCATAAACAAATTATCGGAATTTAATCGGACTTGTCTTATTTTACATATTTATTTAATACCTACCTTTTTTGTATAAACCTTTTTTCTCTATGAATAACAGCTTTTTTACGCGAGTCAAAAAACCACTTTTCCATAACTTTGACCATTGTTTTAACAAAGTTTCCCAACTAATCTCGAGTTGATTTTTTGATATGTTGTTTATAACACGTTTCGGAACAATATTCCGCAGAGAAACTTCTAATAGTATTTTTTTTCCCAAAAAAAAGCTATAATGACTGGCCTAAAATTTTTGTTTTTTAAACAGAACAGCTAGGGTGGCCCAAAAAAAAACGAATTTTTTTTTCGTGTTTCTTGTGAAAATATGTTTATCATCTTTTAAAAGAATCCCCCTCAAAAATCAGCTCAAAAAAAATTTTTTTGGAGGTCGCTCAAGATTTTTAAAAGTTTCCAAAATTATCAAAAATTATTTTTTTTTAATTTTTTTCCCGTTATTTTTTCATTTTCTAGGTTGAAAAAAATCTCGATTCTGAAAATTTCAAATCGATATTTTAATTTCTAAAGGTCCGTATTATTTTAACTTTCAAAGTATGTACCTAAAATGTTTTCTAAAAATAAATATCAACAAACCAATATTTTTTTTATTGAATTTGATGAACAAAAAAATTAAAATAAATTTCCCCAGGTAAAATTTACTACCGCACTGTAGCTAATCTTTATAATTTTAAAATTTTAGTGTCTGGTGATTTATTTTTACTCTTTTATTCATCAACTTCAATAAAAAAAATTATTAGTTCTTTGATATTTATTTTTAGAGGTCGCTCGAAAACATTGATACACTACTTTGAAAGTTAAAATAATTATGAGTGACCTTTAGAAATTAAAATATCGATTTGAAACCCTACAGAACATCCTGTATAGAATCCTTTCCTTCTTCTGATTACAGTGATATATGCATGTTATATGTTTGTTTTGACAGTTTGCATAAAATTTTGGTTTGGCCACAATACGGAGAACCGCATAATGTAAACAATGTATTTTTACGTTCATAAAAGGAATCGCTTTGTATGCCAACTCTTTGTTTCTCTTTTGCAGACGACGTGGTAGACCGGCATATGATGACTTGCGAAAAGTACACCAAAAATAACGAAATTTATCTACGTGTCGTAAACTATACTATGGATATAAATTCAGAAAGTATCGTTTACGATTTCGACAGCATCTTCCCGGGCAACGAACAGATTTCCAACGAGATCGCGAAAACCCTCAACGAAAACTCCTTGTCGATTTTCAACGAGGTGAAAGGCGGTATAGAAAAGGCGTTTTCCTTTGTCTACATGCAGTACATGAACAACGTTTTCTCGAGAATACCCTTGAATCAGATATTCTTGGATTAGTAAGGAGTCTTAAGGCAGTTGTACACGTAGCGAAAAATCGTAGCGACTCTTCACATAAATCAAAAAAATCTGTACAGATAAATTTCTACGTTTATGGCTGTCCTTACCAAATGTATACTTTATTTCCAATTAGTGTGGTGTCTTTGTTTTTTTCTTTTAAATATACATAAAAAAATAATCGGTTGCCTTGCTTCCCTATACTCTGTCGAATCAATGTTCTACAAAGGTTTTATATGTAATTAAATTTTAGAACCTGCCCCTGCAACAGCTTTATGATCCTGTCATCAAGATCTGTGAATATTTATCCTTAAAGCTCCCATTTTTAGGATACAGGCAACTGGCCTTAAAGAAAAAAAATGCTTTAAACTGAAACCCTAAGTATGCCTCCCGTGACTGTGTCAATCATATGTATTTATTAAATTATATAGTGGGTACCCTGCAATTCATATCAATTTGTTCTTAACTATACTCAGGGCCGGCTTTAGAGCAGCCCAATCGAGACCACCAAAAAAATGGGGCTCTCAAAGTACACTGATAAAAAAATGTTTTCTCCTAGCCTGCAGCTCTTTTAATTATGTTGTATATTTATATAAGTTCATGCATAATTTTTTTAAAACAAGCTTTTAGTGACGTCATTTTATTCTCGTATTCTTCTCAGCAAACCCTTTATTTTGATACCCATACCATAGGGGTGCATAAAAAATAACTGGTCCGCCAGGTTTGGGAGTCCGCCATATTGGATTTAGAATGACGTCACTTAGCTAACCATGCATTGTTATCCAAACTAAACGTGCGTGCACAATTTCAACTCGATCGGTTGGGGATAACCTTTTTAAAATTCAGTTGCAAGATTTGACTCATACTGACAAGACAAGCTAAATAAAAGCTTGTAATAATAAAATAGTAGCAATACGAATAATTCTAATGTAGACAAGTCAATCACGCCTGAAAAATTATTCAAGCTATACGAAACATCGAAATTTTGTATTACAATAAATGCTTTTTATTACAAAGAATTTTATTATAGAAAAATGGGAAGTACTACTCCATTTAATTAAATCACAATATTTGGATATAGTCAAAATCATCGCTTATAGACAGTTGTTACAAAACTGTCGATAAGAATTCAAGAGAAAACTATTATCTGTCAGCGTAATATAGGACGCCTAAAAATTTGCAATTAAATGACCTACATTGGTACGATGAAAACTTTTTTGGAACTGCTGATTTACAATTTCACAACAAACACACGTTTTTAAATTAAAGAACTGATGATTACTTGAAACTTGAAATTGTACTAGCAGTGTTCCTAATTACCTACTACAAAGAACGTGATAAAAAAAAGGTACACGACATGCCATTTACCGTCACAACTATTCACCTCTTTTTATGAAGTATGTAGGTTGGGGTAGATGCCAAAGGTTCTGAATAAGTTTTAAAAATATTAAACTGTTATTAATTTTAAGCGCCATTTCCAGTTTCAATGATTTTGATTAGTGAAACCGCTTATCATTGTATGTAGAAGTTTGAATCTGATAAGTAAAAGTGTATCTTCCAGGCAGAGCAGCTAAGAGTACCTACGGTAATTTTTACATACTCTAAGCTGTAGTTGTAAAACTTTTGTACCGTACAAAATTTAATTCAAGTTAAACTTTCACTAATTGGTCATACCTCTATTCTAATATGTCATACGAGAATACGACGTGTCGTTCCTCCTCTATTCCAGGAGTTCTCAATCTTAATCCATTGCGGTTCAACTCGAACTTCTACAAATCACTAATGACTGCAAATACGGACCTGACGCTATACTCAAAGGTCACTTACGACTAGACTAGAAGCAAATAAAAGTTTTTAGTGACAGTAACAAATATTAAAATAGGATTGTCACTCCTAGTGTCCGTGATGGTTTTAAGGGTGTTACTGATATTCTCAGTTGCTCTGGTGAAGAGCGCGTTAAGTTCTAATATTTTGATAGCGTGTCCAGTACCGTCGCCAAGCCACCAAATTTGGAACTATGCCTTTGCGGAGGGCCTAATGGAAAAAGGTCACAACATAACCATGGCGGGGCCAGATGCCCGTATGCGCAAACCGTCCGATAGGTACCATCCCATCGTTTTTGAAGGTGAGGCATTTTTTTTAGAGATAAAAATGTGTGCTGGAAACCCTGATACTGAAGGCTGATTCGTTTAAAAATAGTGGTACAATTTTCTACATGATTTTCGAAAATTCAGTACTATCGGAATCACACTACGTTTTCAAAATACAGGGTGTTTAATTTTTTGAAAATACAATTTTGTTTTCTTTGTTATTTACTAAACTAATATTTTTTGTTCAAATTTTGTTCACAGCAAACATAATGAAAGGCTAACATTTTGGCAGGAAAACACTTCGTCTAAAAACAGTGGCGCAACTACGTGATTTTCTTTAGATTACAAAAGTATTTTTTCGGAAATATGAAAATTTCGATCCCTTTTCTGAAAAAACTACTCCCGGTAATACTGATTAGGAAACCCTTTTGTTTTTTGACTTGTTCTATAGAGTTTAATATATATACAGGGTGTCCCACCACGAATTCCATCGATGGATATCTGGGAAACCGCTCCACGGATTTTTTTGAAATTGTGATGGTGTGATCCGGTTATACCGAAAGTCGATACTAGCTTTCTTATTTTAAATGGAACCCCCTCTATATTATTGTATTTTTGGAAAAAGCATCTATTTTTAAGTTGGAAACATATAGCTCACTCCATACTTAGGATTGACCGTTTCCGAGATATTTTGATTTTTAAGCAAAAATTGACAGATGCAGACTGTCAGCAAAATTTAGTTTTCCCGGAAACATTGGTGTATTTTTTTTTGTGCAAATTGGATATTTTGTGGAGGAAGACTTAATTTATCGAATTTGACATTTCCAGTTTCTATACAGGGTGGTCAAAAAAATTTTAAGAAAAGGGAAATGTTTATTCGTAAATAAAATGAAAACCACTGGTTTTAGGTAACGAGCGTTCAAATAAAAACGTGGTCAAGTTGGTTCTGAAAATTTGGACGTAGGGCGTAGCGTATAGCAAATAAACTTAAACGTCATCTGTCAAAGCGCTATATCGCCGCTATCAATTTAAATATTTTCGTTTTAAAAAGCGTTTAAAATGGTGTTTTCTCAAGAACAAAAAGTGTTTATCATAGAGTCCTACTTTAGAAATGGACGCAAGATTGATGGAATATGGAAGTATTCTATTGAGGAATGTTTCATAGAATTTCAAAATCAATTTCCCGGCGTTGTTGAGTACAAAATTTTTCAAAGTGCAGTTCAGCGTTGTGTTAATGTTTTTCGTGAAACGGGCAGTGTAACAAGAAAAGAAGGAAGCGGCCGACCTAAAAAGCGGACTGAAGAATTAAAAGAAAATGTCCAACAAATAATGGAAAATGCGCCAAGAACTTCTGTACGTGTTTTATCACAAATGGTGGGAGTATCAGTCGGTACCTGCCACACAGTGTTAAAAAAAGATTTGCGTTTGTTCTCCTATCGTTTAACTTGTCAGCAAGAACTTCATGAAGTTGATTTTCCGCGACGGGCTGTATTTTGTGAATGGTTTTTAAACAACTACGGTGAACTTCATAATATCACCTTTTTTTCTGATGAAGCCTGGTTTCATTTAAGTGGTTACGTAAACTCACAGAATATGAGAATGTGGTCTTCTGAAAAACCAGATAACTTTTTTGTCGAGGGCCCTCTACACGCTCAAAAAATTGGAGTTTGGTGTGCTCTCAATCGAAGGAGGATTTATGGACCTATTTTTTTTAATGGTACTCTTACTGCGCAAAGGTATAGAGAAGAAATTATCGCTCCTTTTGTTAACCAGCTGGAAGAAAACGAAATTACAAACTTTTACTTTCAACAAGATGGCGCAAGGGCACATACGGCAGGCGAGACGATGAATATGTTGAGGGAAGTTTTCCAAAATCGACTAATAAGTCTCAATGCTGAACATGAATTTCCACCGAGGTCATGTGATATTACGCCGTGTGATTTCTTTTTGTGGCCTTACCTTAAAAACACTATTTTTGAACTGCCTATTCCTGATTTAAACCATCTGCAGGCTCGACTTATAGACAAGATTCGTGAAATTAACAATACCCCGAGCATCTTAGAAAATGTCTTTAATTCTTTGAGGAACAGGTGTGAAAAGTGCTTGGAACAAGGAGGGGGACACTTTCAGCAGCTGCTTTAATTTATTGTTATAACAAGGAGGGGGACACTTTCCGCAGCTCCTTTAATTGTTTGTTATTGTTATCACGATTATTCTTTAAAATAAAGTTATATAGTCATTAACGTTATTGAAACTGACAGCTGCTATACAGCTCGTTGAGAAATGAGGTTAAGTTGGTCGCTATAAGCTACTCCCTACGTCCAATGTGTCAGAGCCAACTTCGACCACGTTTTTATTTGAACGCTCGTTATAAAGAAACTTTAACAAAGTTGCACTTAATTTTAGTTCAGAATGCCAATACGTTAAAAGTTTCATGTCAAATTCGATAAATTAGGTTAGGTTAGATTAGGTTAAATTAGGTGCAGGTACTTGTTTTGAAGTTCCACTAAAAAGAGATAGGTAGAGATAGGATAGAACCATTATACCGTTCGAAAGAGAACAAAATTGTTCATCAGGTTGCGCAAAAATATACAGGATGTTCCATTTAAAACAACGAAGATAACGTCATCTTCCGGGATAACCGGAAGCGTTAGGTGGACGTCATTATTTTAGTTGAGAAGGGCATACCCGAAAACACTATTGCCCAAATTTTCAAAATTAAAATCGAGGTAGTCTCTGAAATATGTCTGATGTCTCGTCACCGTAGATCACCCTGTATACCGAGTTTCATTTGACCCCGTTTAAGCAATTTTGTATTGTTTAAAAATTGTGTTTTTGGGCAATGCATATTTATCACCTTGCAACATTTTTAATAATTTCATGTTCATAGGAAACTTCAATTCAAATTAATAATTAAATAAAATTTTATGTACTTACTTAAAGATGAATTGGCAGATTTTATTACAAATTAATCATTCCAATTAAAGATTTGGCAGATTTAACTATGAACTGTAATCAAAGATAAATTGTCAAATTTTAATGCTTAAGAATGTACAAAAAACTTCCTCATTCCTTTATAATAATAATAATA